AAGTGAAAAATTTTCTGAGTGTAGAAGATTAAACAAACGACTGTCAAAGATTTTCGATTCCTCTTGTCGTGCTAGCGGCGCGCGAGGGGCGTACCAATTTACTTTTAGTCCGCCTTTGAAGGAAAATTATTCTGTAATTTGGTGATGATTTGATTCTGACACTGTTAGCAATGAATGTTTTGAAGTTGGAGATACAATGAAATATTATTTATTAATTTGATGTCGATTTGACTCTGAAGCTATAAGCACAGACAAACAGACATAACACATTGAATATTTCTCACTGCAAAACATCGTCGCTAAAACATTACCGCCATCTATTGAGTACACTGTGGTGGGTAGTACACTGAACAGATGGCGGTAGTGTGTAAACGTCAAACGCAAGAAAAATGACTATGCGCGCCACAGGTGGCGGTACTACCAACTACGATACTTTTAAATTGACCGTTAACTGCTTGTTCGATGAACAACTTGCGAGTGTTATGTCTGTTTGTCTGTGCTATAAGATATAATGTTTTTGATTACGGAGATACTGCAATGATTAGTCATTTTGTAACGGTCATGAGTTACGTTCGTCGTAGCAAATACAAGAACCGAAATTCAATCCAAATTACAAACATTTCACACATTCGAACAGTTTTAACCCATTAGCCACAACGGTTCCATGCTACACCCAGTTCGCAAGTAGCCTAACTTTAGGCGAATGAAGGCTTCTCCTTTTCACTCACGCAATCTAAGTTAGCCTTAAGGCTCACGCACATTAGATCAGGATCGGACGCGTTGCGGCAAAGGGACAGCTAAATCTATTGTCTAACTGTCAAATTTACGTCAACGCAACGCAAACGGATCTAATGTGGGTGGCCCTTTATCAAGGTGATTTTCTTTATGCAAATCTAGATAGAGCTGGAATTAGGGCCTAACAGCTTTTGTAAACAATGACTTCTCTTGATGATTTCTAGAAATTCAAAGTCTCGCCCACGCAAACCAACATCCTCATCGGGTGGAGAAAGAATTCCCCTATCCGATGGTTAGGTTGGTCTGGGTTGACGTGCCTTGAATTCCTAGAAACCATCAATAGAAGTCATTGTTTACAAAAGCTGTTACGCCCTGATTCCAGCTCTATCTCGAAATGATCTGTAAAAAAGACGATAAATAAAATTTCAATCTACCGTATGCGTGCTAATGTTTGCAACATTAAGCAATGTCAAAATAAAAAAAAAAATCTAAAAAATTTCGTTTTCGAGTTTTTTTTATTTATTCAAAGGGAGAATGTTTTTTCAGAGGCTTAAACTATGTTAATCATCGATCGAGTTTCCACTTGCTGCAACAAACGGCCTCCACACGCTTCCGGAATGCACGGCAGGTTCTAATAATGTAGTCTGGATCCATTTCTCTCCAGGTACGGGTCAATGTTTGTCTGAGGCTTGCTGTACTCGGGTGGCTTTTAGAACAGGCCTTGGCCTTCATGACGCGCCATATGGAGTAATCCAGCGGATTAAGATCGGGGCTGGATGGCGGCCACATATCCTTCACCCAGAACGGAAGATGTTCTTACAACCACCTCTGAGTGCGGTTCGAGCTGTGTTGAAATACAACATTTGGCTTCGGACCGTACTGTTCTTTGATCCACGGAAGAACATACTTACTTAAAATCCCGATGTAGACGTCCGTGTTGACCTTGTCGCCTTCTGGAACGAACACCGGGTCCATTTTTTTTGCCATCGGAAGCCACCAATCCAAACACCATTACGCTAGCAGGATGCTTGGTCAGATACACGTTCTTGTGCTCGTTGGCCACGTCATTTACCGGCAGAACTTAATATAGCGGTCGGTTTTGGAATTTGCTACGGGATCGACGGTAAACATGCTCTCGTCGGTAAACAGGTTCACCAGATTTTTTTTCGCTTAAGGAAGTTCAAGATTTTCTTGCATCGTTCGACTCGTATCTCCCGGATGCGGTTGGTAATCATGTGAGTTTTTTTTTTCCGTGCCCTCGACTTCGCCCCGCAATCTTCCTTTACGATCTTCCGTGCCGTAAAGTTACTGATCCCGTGTTCCTTTGCCATTTTCCTTATTGAACGCACTGGATTCCCTAATAAACAAATATCATAAACGAACGATAACCCAAATAGTCGAACTTTTCCACAAATGGTTTGGATGACACCCCGAACACGTCGTTAAGCAAAATAACCATACCATTTTTATTAGGGTTCACCCGAATCTTCCTTTTGATTGCAGCGATATATAACCCTCGGAACCCGAGCTGACCTCGGACGACCTGTGGCCACCTTCGCGGATAGTTGTCCTTTTTTTCTCGGTCTAAAACCCTTTTGACGGTCCACCGGGACACTCCCATGGCGATTGAAATGTCTTTTTTTTTGTCATGGTGCAACTGTCAAACTAAGTAAATCATTTTCTTTTATACACAGCCGGTATGAGCTAAGAGGAAGTGGTGACAATTGGCTTCTTACTCTTTTATTTCTATCTCTATCTCTATATTTATCTATCTCTATCTCTATCTTACGCACATGAAATCGGCCAATCAGGAGCTGGTTCACGTTTGACAGAAAAATAGTTTATTTTCGCCCCCGTATTGTCACATCTTCTCTTAGGGTATGAGCTATAGGTTACGTTAAAGCCCTACAGTAAAAGTATGGACGTCTGTCAAAAGTTGTTCCAATCGAACCGTCAAAATGCACCGCTTTGCTCGATTGGAACAGCTTTTTTCTGTTTTGTGGTGACAGTCGTTCATACTTTTACTGTAGGGCTTTAGGTTACGTGCATGCAAAGAAAACCAAGGCATTGTATGCACAGGTAAAACGGGAACCTTATTTGTACGATGGTGCAAACATTCCCGCATAAACGCGAACCATAAATTGACCTTACCTAAAATGGTTAAAAATTGTTTATAATCCCTGCTAAACTTTAACTGAAATGGTTATGGAACTTTACATGAACGTTTAATGATAAAGTTTCAACCTTATGTATTATGGTTTTTTGGAAATGGACTTTACAAATAATGGGTTGTTAAGAACCATTACCATTCCAAATTCTTGTTTTCTCCATACATTTTCGGAAAGAGAACTATATTAGAACCTTTTAACTTATGGTTTGAGAACTTTAATGGTAATGGTTATGGTAGTCAGTGAGGTCCACGAATGGTTTTGTAACATCGATCAACTTTATGTGGAATGTATCGCGAATTGGTTGCCTGTAATTTACTGAATACCAATTCACGATATATTCCACGTAAAGTTGAGCGATAATACAAAACCATTAATGGACCTTACTGACTACCATAACCATTACCATTAATGTTCTCAAATCATAAGTAAAAACGTTCTTATATAGTTCTCTTTCTGAAAATGTATGGAGAAAACAAGAATTTGGAATGGTAATGGTTCTTAACAACCCATTATTTGTAAAGTCCATTTCCAAAAAACCATAATACATAAGGTTGAAACTTTATCATTAAACGTTCATGTAAAGTTCCATAACCATTTCAGTTGAAGTTTAGCAGGGATTATAAACAATTTTTAACCATTTTAGGTAAGGTCAATTTATGGTTCGCGTTTATGCGGGTAGGCTACTAAAGTGGTGAGCCAATTTAAAATCGTTAGTTTCGTATTGATTGTTGGTAATAGTATCGACAATTAAAGCTAAAGCATGCAGCGTCCAATAATGGACCTACTTATTTGCGCATAAAGGACTTGTGTGGGCTTCAGCATGTCTGCCACTCTGCCAATTCCTTGCGTTAGATTGATCGACCGTGTAGAACATAAAAACTCACATTTGCAAGGTTCCACTTTTGGCGCGCAGAAGCGAACCTCCCAACAGTTTTCATTCATCGTTTGCACCGTTTCCCTTTTGCATTCGCCTGACAGCAAAACGATCAAACGTCAGATGGTGCGCGGTGAATGACACACCATCAACCAGCCTTCTGCCGGACGAATGAACGGAACAAGGAGAAACACAGCAAGAGAGGAAAAAACGGTGTCAAGTGATATACATTCTTCTCTCGAGTCGGATCAGCCATCAGCAGCGGCAGGCGCTTCGCGACGGCTCTGTCTATCTGTATCTATCTATCCTCGACGTCGTCGTCGTCGTCGTTGCAGCCGTTTGGATTATTAGTTTTTCTTGAGTTTCCTTTCGACTTTTTGGACAGTGTGTGCTATTATTATTCGGTTGGTGAACTTGGTCCACTGCGGGTCGCGTTCGTTCTTGGACCTTTTTTTTTCCTGTCGTGTGAGTGTATCGTGGTGCTAAACAGGAAATTCCATCGATTCTTTCCGATTAATTGTTTCGGAGCAGATTCCATTCCAGCCTGTGTGATTGCAGCTTTCGGGGCTTAGGCTTTCGGATATCGCAGTGGTGCTGCGACGTAGAATTAGTAGCAATAACAGTTGATTTAGGGGTTATTGTTATGGGCTATGGTGGCAGTGTGATGGTGTGAGTGCACGAGCCATTCAATGTTGATTAAGTGAAATTGTGGAAAGGGGGAAAAACATCATCACAGCGATTGGGGGAGGTAGACACTAGTACAACTAGTACACTGTAACAAAACAAAGCTGGTGACGAAGACCGTGGGAGAGGAAAGCAGATCGCTGCTGGAAAGTGTGTGTGCTTGGGCACGGGAAAATTACTGCCGTGGGAACCTCCACGCTTAAGACTACAAGAAGTGGGTCTTGGAAAGTCTCTGGTTGACAGTGGGAATGGAGTGAAATTTTTGTGAAGTGTGAAGTGGATCACTTTCAAAGCCGAAGAAAAGCCCAGTGCAAAGTAGTTGCGTGGAATGCAGTTCTGAACACGCAGCCAGTGCAGTTACGAAGTAGTGCGAAATCAAAACAAAGCTGAAGCAGACTGGATTCCAGTGACATCAGCAGTGGAACGAAACCGAACCAGCGAGCAAACGAGCTGTAACTATTTTGGTTTATGTAGTGGTACCGATACCTACTGGTTGCATGGTCGTTGCAGATATTTCACGCAACAGCGGCCAGGTGTGTTCGGTTGCCAATGTTATTCGATGTTGGCAACTATAAGGAAACAAGAGGGATTGATGTTGTGTGCCGCATAGGACGGACCGAACGACGGACAAATTGAATAACTCGAAGAGCCGGAGTCATTCGTCATGGAGAAAAGGTAAATCGGCTTTCTCACAAACATTCAAATACCGCAAGTTGTTGTATGCGCGAAGGAACGAGGGAGAATTGTTAATGGGGAAGAAATGATGGCAGTTTGTGCTAGAGGGTCCGGCAGTATTCCAATTCATGCAAACTGAAGAAGTGGATGTTTTTTTTTTTTAGAAAATATGGTATCTTAAAACGCTGGCCATACTGAGCAGCTATAACATGTTACAAGTTTATCTTGACAATATCTAAGGTAGAGACGCAGACAGACATTCAACCTTTTTTGCTCTATATCTAGAGAAAACTGTGCTTCAGAACACTTTTAGAGCATTAAAAAACACACATTTTGATTACCTAATTTTGACGTTTGGACCACTGAATCAAAAGATATAGTCATTTAAAAGAAAGAAACAAGTATTTTTCAAACGCGCAAGCCAATTTAAAATCTTGAAAGTAATGAATAGAAGAAATTTGGTTCTATATTTGCTGGAAAAATGGCAGAGGTAGCATTTTTTTTTAACTCGAGATATCAGAATTAGAAAATGGTCAATTTTAAAGAAAAAAGCCATAGAACATGATTCCTCCTAAAACTGATTGCTCCTGTTGCACACAAAATTTTTTTTTGACAACTCGTTCTGAGCTGAAATTTTGGATACAAACAAATTAAAGGGAATTAGTTGATGTGATTGAGCAATTATTTAATGTTTAATTTTTTTAAATAACGATAAAGGTTATCAATAAAATGAACTAAAACAAAATTGAACAACAATCAACGGGTTCGGCACAATTCTTCCTATTTTGATGGAAGCTGGAAATGAATAATAATAATAATAATAATAATATGCTTAAAAAACAATAAAAATCTACCGATCGATCACAAGGTGCTTGGCGTTGTCCGGCAGTTTTAAAGGGGCTCGAGTTCTCTCATTCCTGTTTAGAAGAGAAATCTTTGGATCCGATGTGAACAATTCCTAATATACTTATTCTGGATTCGAGTTCTCGATTATGCTTGCCCCATGTACTAGCATTTTATGCACAGTTGGTGACAAGGAATACCAACCATTTAGTTCTACATATAGTAAGCACGTTTCCTCAGCATACACCTGATTTGCTTCGTGGTCGATCTCCTCCTTGCTATTTAGAACCACCAGTAGTACACGAAATCTTTCCAGAAGGTTTCTTTCCAAACCTGTAATTCGTGCAACGGCTTCGACAATTTCAAAAAATGTTTCAGATGACTTTCCATCGTTGGAGTTACCTCCTAACGGCGACGGTTCGCTTATGTGAAGCCCCACTTCCTGTCGTAGACCTAGGCGGATCGTTTCTTGGCGATCTCTCACGATCAGATTTCCTCTACTCACGCGCCAGATCGGTTTTTCTAAGGTCATCTTGTATGACACGTTGAGAAGTAGCTCCATAGTGCGGATCGTAAGTCTCCTATGGCGGTACAGCTTCGTTCAACCTTTTCCCAGATCTCAAGCAGGTGAAACATTTCTGCGAGTTGGTTCCGGTTGTATCGTTGACAACCTTCGTATCTATCATGGAGAGTATCATTTTGGAATCAACCGAACTGTCAGTGCCACCAACTTTCACATTCGTCGGAACCAAAGCGGAAATCTCGTCATTAGTTAATCTTGTCAGTTTCTGGCTCTTCTTGGCGTACACCAACTCTCACTTATGTCCACGAAAGTTTGCTTTTTACCCGGTGGATAACACTCTAATTTGGCTTCAATGATGTGGGTAAGTTGGGTAAGCCAGCGTTCAAAAACACTCTCGGATGGACAGGAAAGCCTAATCGGCGCACTTAACAGGACAGAAGATCACCTCGACAATCAACAACGCTGCCACAGATTCTGTCAAACAGCAGGAGAACCAGCAACCTGGGACCAGTAATCCAAAGCACGCTCAAAAGGAAGGAAAGGCTCAGTTGATATGTTCGGTGGGACAAACGACAGTGAACTCATCAACTTCCTTGAGGTTCAACAATTCCGGACCAGCCAACATAAACACGACAAACTCACCAACTAATGCAAAAAAAAATCTCTTGGAGTATGCGTGTGTGGACAAAAAGGAAAAATCGATGAACTGACCAAGCGCAATGAGGAACAAGCTGCGCCAATTGAAAAGTAAATATTAAAAAAAAAATAAACAAATCAGTCCACCAACAATCAATACGAAACTATCGATTTTAAATTGGCTCACTACTTGACTAGCCTATTGGTCCCAAGCAAATCGATTAACGTACCCCATTCTAGTTGAAATTCTAGTACTACACAATGTTTGTTTTGATTTGCCATGAAAGTTTGACAGATTAAATGAGGGCTTCGTGGATTTTCTCATGTTTCGAGGGGTGCATCGATTAGCTTGGGACCGAAGATAGTACCAGAGCTGAGCCAAAAAGTTGAGCACTTTTCTTCGGGACCTACTAGTTTTAGAGTTACCTCTATGAGTCTACGTTGCCTCAGGTTGACAGACACACTCAACGCCAAAATCCTCTGAAATTCCCATGAAGACGTTTTTACTGTTATCGAAGGATTTGTTGCCAAAGACAAGTTGAAGAAATTTTTGTGCAGTTACTGATGCATGGTATCTATGGCCATCGGGATTCGCTCACCGACAAACCGACATGAATGATCAACCAAATTACAAAGAAATTTCTGATCAAAGCACAAAACTGACATCTGCGACACGATCGTGGTAGGCCGTGATGAAAATGTTCGTGATTCAGGAAAAAATCTTCAGAAATGTGTCCTAGTCGAGGGAAACCCATTCCGAAAAATGAAGATCCCAAAAATGAAGTGTCGAGGAGGGAATCCTCTGGACCGATTCGCGGGCAAAACGGAAGTACCCGGGTGAAGTGCATTAAGACAATTTAGAAGAAGAGTGAAGATGTCGCATACTCGCTTAGAATGGGAGAAAGAAGTTTCGTGACGGCTTTGGATAATATTGAGAAACTGGTAGAATTTGGTGAGACTTTTCCGAATCTATAATCGGTTGCTGATCTGGCCAAAACCAGGCCCAAGAGACAATTTCTAGTTCCTCATTCTAGGCCCCTATTATTTGCCGCTGAGAAGCTGTTCCGAAGCCAAGTAGAACCTCCACGAGGCGTCCCATCATTCGTTGAGTCGCAGCGTTGAACTTGCCAACCCAAGTAACAATTCAGTATCCATTTGGCATCCACTCTGATTTATAATTGTTTTATAACGGCAATGAACAATCCATTTAGTTTAAATACAGCATTTCAAAATGTAAGACATTCCTGCTTAGTAATTCAGATTTTTGCTGTTTTAAAAACCTTTTATAGTCTGGCAAGAAAGTCAGAAACTGTCTTGTTTTAACAATAAACAAGTGCATCACAAACTCCCCAATTACTCTGTTTACAAATTGAGCTTAAAAGATGGTTCCTCATAGTTAATAAAAGCCAAATTTATGACAAGGAAATCTCGAAGGATACACGAAGTAGGATGAAAAATTCAAGTCGATTTCAGCAAAATTTACTTCTTTAGTAGAACCAGCACATCATCAACGACTGGTCATCTGGCGGAGAAGAGTAAAGTGAGCGTGGGAAGTTTAAAAACATACCAGTCTTCTCCAGATCTTGCGAATCGATGACAACCAACGGCAAACCAGTGAAACTGTTTGTTAGCGGTGATTAGTTGGCTTCCGATCCATAGCAGCGATTTTATTCGGCGAAAGAATCAACTCTTCGAAAATTTCATTCAAGCGTACATCCCTGCATCGTTGGATGGTGCACTTCTGTGACCGTCCGGAAGAAGGGGATCTTTTTCGGGAAAGATTGCGCTTCCAGCTGTTCGAAATGCGAAATGTTGTAAAACAGTATCGCAAACTATCGGAGTAACTGCTCACAATCCATCGGGAGAAAACCGCCTGGAAGATGGATCCCACACCGCAACTATCGAAAGATAAACAAACTGTGACGTTTAACTTTTTGCAGACAACTTTGCCTCCATAAATGCTGCCATAAATCTGAACGGGTTAGGATCAAGCAAAATGGCTTTAGATAAATACAATTCAGTTTGCAAGTTTTCTTCACAAAAGCCATTTTAAAACCTTATGAATTTTGTTAAGGATTTCTTGAAAGCAAAACAACTTTTATGCCGCCGCCATGTTATAATTAGTTTGCTTAATTTTTACATTCTCCAATTTTCAATCTATATTTGCTTGGATGTAACTATATTTTGGTAAATTTAGCAATGAGCAAACATTTAAATGCGAAAATCATAAAAAAAAAATCTCGGCCAAGCTCGATCTGAATTTGTGAAGCTTCTTTTACAGATCTGTGTGCTGAAAATACATGGAAATGTCTTTACATGACCGTGGAGATACAAAGAGAAAGTCGACGAAGAGAATCCGCCAATGTTACTTAGGACCTAATGCAATGCTTGAATCACAAGGCTAAAGGGCCACCCAAATTAGATCCGTTTGCGTTGCGTTGACGTAAATTTAGCAGTTAGACAATAGATTTAGCTATCACTTTCCGGCCGATCCGGATCTAATCTGCGTGGGCCTTAACTCTTTCGACTGAAGTGTAATAAAGAATATCCGTCGAACATTTTTGATACAAAACAGTGTCACAATCTAGAGAAAATTCATAGTACCCTGGGTAGCAAACTTGAATTAATAAACTCTTTATTCATCAGTACAACACTATCAGAATGAACCAGCGACAGCTCATAAGCAGGGTGGCAAGTGAACCAGGAAAACCAGGAAAACCGGGAAAAAGTCGGAAATTTATTTTCACCAGGAAAAACCGGGAAAAACCAGGAATGTCATAAGTCCACCAAGGAAATAATCTTGTTTGTATAAATTAAATAGGTTTTAAATTTTATGTATGTCAAAGTTTCTTTTAATAATCAGGTCAAAATTAAACATTTTGTTCAAGCTAAATCTTTCACACAACTAAAATTTACCCTGAGAGTTTAGTAAATATATTTTGTATTTATTTTTAATTTAATTTTTTCTCGAATCAATTCTCGATAGAGCTGGAATTAG